GTACGAACGAGCGATGGAACACATTTGTAGTTCAAAGAACGTTCAGTTAGAGCGAATGAAAATTATTGCAGAAGTGGTTATAATATACGATCACGTCAAGGTTAATGTAAAAATGGTAGGTGGTTACGATTCGGATGGCGGCCCCGACAAGATTAGGCTGTCCAACTAGTCAACTTCGAAATGAAATTTTCTGAAATCTTTCTGATGCCATGTATGCGATTTTTTCATATTTTATTTTTTATTAGACTTTTTGATCAACTTTTCTGCGCTTTGATCGTTATGTAAAATTCGTAAGGAATACCGGAATACCTTATTGTTTTTTAAAAATTTAAATTTTTTATTTAAAGCAATTTAATTAAAGTCGAAGAATTCATGAAAAATGGGCAATTATTGTAAATAAACGTATAGCTTTTAGCTTTTGCACTAATGATAAAGTTCACTCAAATATCCAAAAAAAGCCAAACAAGCATTCAATTCAAATTTCAGTAAAATTGAAATTATGAAGATGTGCTTTTTTATCAATTAAAACGTAAATAATTGTGTATACAATGGAACCGTTGTGCATCGGCAAGAAGGAGAAAAGGGAGGAGGGAGAGACTAACATTAAAAAAAGCGTTTGGAATTGGGGGTGGGGGGGTGGAGGTGAAAATTGACTGGAACTTCGAAAGGCGCGAATGTTACAATTATTGGCGAGATCTAACTATTGAAAAAATTCTGTTGATTTTGCAGGTGGATATAGTGAGTCATCGACTCAATCGAAATTGAAATTGGCATAGAACAAAATTTAATTGTTGAGTGCAGGCTTTGTTGGCCGTTGTTTACCGTGGTCGGTTGATTTCCTTTGACGTTTCGCTGTTCATATTGTCAACTTCTTCAGAAGGAATTTGATAGTTAAAGGTGCAGGTGGATACTTCTCAATTTATACCTGTTAATTAGCTTTGTTGACCTATGTTCGTTACGGGTTATTGTTGTTTGCTTAGAGCTCAATACCAATCTTTAGGTGTTACTATGTTTATAACCACCCTTCTTATCGATATTACCATTATTTTTCGATAGTTCGATAGATTCTTGAATTAATTATTTATTTCATCTCGATGACGTAGAAATATTGACGGTGCTCCCAATTAAAAATAATAAACAATTTCAGCACGGAGGATGGTTATAAACTTAAATTAGAAAGTGTAACTGACCTCTAAGCAAACTGTAACAACCCACAAGATGCTAAACATGATCTAAGCAAAATAAACAGGCATAAATTGGGAAGAAGCAGAATCGGTAGAAAATGTTTCGAAATAATTTAATTATTATAAGTTATTTCAAGAATTAGGCATTTGATTTAAATATATGTAAACGGTGTACATTAGGTATTGCAGAAAGCAGCAATTAAGATCTGTTATTTGTAAAATAAACAATATTAATTAAGGATTCAATTTATATTTACTGTTGAAGTTGATTTCCCCGAATGTAGTTCAATGTTTTTAAATAAGTTCTTTGAAAATCTGTGAAAGGTTACTGCTGAGCGAATCCAAACTCGCACTAATCTGTAGAATATGCTTTCGAAGTTTAATTACGTACGTTTTTGTACCTTGTCAGATATGTCTAAAAGATTCAAGTGCACCACGAAGCCAGCGGAGTGCACCGAACTTTAAACTCTTCGATTTAAAGCTAACAGCTGCGGGGCTTACGAACTTATAGTTGGAGTTCTCACTTGCATAAATGGCATTCTTGCAGCATTGCCAGCGATAGATGTTAATGTGATTTGAAGTTTGCAACCAGAGGAATTTGACCCAAATTAAATTTACTGTTTCACTGGCGACCTGAAATTTCCTCTTGGGTGACATTTACATCGAAGCCCTTATCTGTTATTCCATTGATAATACTTCCAAAATTTCTACTACACCGTTCAGGGATTCAGTTGTACTGTGAGTTCATTTTATTTTCAAAATGTTTTATTAGCACATGTTGCAGTTTTAATTTTGTATTTAGTTTCTACCGCTTAGAATTATTCACAAAGTTTGAATATATTTCATTTTATTACATCAAAGGAGTGCCTTCAATTTAAATATGTACCACCATAAAGTTACAAGAAATAGTTTTATAAAATGTTATCCAAATAGTGCCTACAATATATATAGGATCAATATCAGTCTTCAGCAGTCTTCATTCACCCTCATTTAATTTTATGATATTCTATCCATATTTCGTAGGTTCTACGAATTCAACGGCTCGAGGCAGGGTATTGCCTTGTTGGGTTTTTGCCCATACTTGTTTCTGCTTACTTGTTTCCCTACCGAGCGGCATGGCCTAGATGTTTAGACCATTGCCTAGCATTCGGGAGGACGCCGGTTCGATTCCGGGTCCGCCTGCTTTGAGCCAAGTTTTTCTGTGGTTTCCTTGGATCACTTAGGCAAATGCTGAGGCAGTAATATTCCACAGATAATCTTTCATTCTTTTCTATCTTCATTTCGTCCGTCTCATCTTTCTCACCCGAACCACCACCTACCCATTCCCACGATTCCTGAAAGCAGGCTGAAGAGGGTCTTCCGCCCTACCTTCCGGCGTAGTCCGGAGGGACTGCCCGTCCACCAGCATTACTGACTGGTGAGAATGAAACACCCAAAAGTTTTTTTTATTTTCCTTTGTTGGTTTTGTAGGTATGGGCGGTGGTGTTACAATAAGTTCAACTTTGTCGCATATTTTCAATCAGTTACGTTTTTTCCTTCAACTTGTCCGATTACGTTTTTTGTCACTTCATTATACTTCAGTTGTTATCCGTCATTTTTTAATAGTTAGCAAATTGTTATAAATAAAGTTTTTGTACATGGTGTTTACATTGAAGTTTTATTCACTATTGCAAAAACCGTTGAGAAAACACTGCTCGTGCAGACACGGCAACCAGCACGTTTTGGACACATATTGAAAATGCATTAACCAAAAAGTGGTATTTAAAAGTTCACAGGGCACTCGTAATACACAGGTAAATAAACCACTAAGTTTTTATTTTAAAAAATATATTAGAAGCTAAATCCAAATTTGGACGGAAGGTACCATTTTCCATGGTGCATACCACTCATGTTTTAATCATGCTATAACATAATGTAAGTCAAATGTTCCTATCCGAATGAATACTGGATATCTAAAGTAAACCATTTGGTTTTGATTAGACGTTTAAATGGTTAGCTAATTCCAAACTATCATCAGCTTTCTTAGTTTCTATAAAGTAAAAAATTATACAGAACTCGAGTCCTTTAGAATCTTTACGGCATTTCGTTCATCTCTTACTATTTTCGTACAATCCTTATCCGAACAATGCAAACCAACAGTTACTATACCATCTGCAAAAATTCTTAATCTAATTTGGTTTTTACAGTCTAATTGTACTATTTATTATTTATTATTAAACTTTAACATAGGATAGGCCCCATATTCAGGCTGGTTCTTTGGTGATGAGTAGACTTTTTTTATAATAATAATCAATTCCAAAATTTCTATTAATAGATTGAAATGGTTCCCTTTATTTTGTATCTATATATAGTCCAGTCGGTAGAGAATTTTCCGGACATAAATTTGTTACCGGACGGGAGTTGTTCCTTGTTGTAGGCGGGGAAAAGTTAAGCATATTTTTAAACCAATTGACAAAATTGATCGTACCGAGGCTCAAATTGAAGGTTTTTATTTCTCTGGAATTTTTATTTAAAACTTTTCTTTCTAAAAGGCATACCTTGCCTTTTAGATATAAAAACGTGGTTTTTGCCAACTTTGGACCTCCCCCATTTGTTAACGCATACTTTTTCGAAGTTTAAAAATATACAGGGATGCTTAATTTTTCCCCGCCTACAACAAGGAGCAACTCCCGGCCGGTAACAAATTTATGTCCGGAAAATTCTGTTCCGACTGGACTAACAAGTATATGCATTACTTGACAGAAATAGCTTGATCCCTAAAATATTTACGCACAGCAATGCGCGATGGACAATTGATATTGTAGTGGGGACGGTAGTCAGCTAGATCGTCAAGGATTCTTAAAAGCATGATAGTGTATGCAAACTCGCTCCTCATTATCGGAGAAGAATTTTAAATCCGAAACTTCAACGATAGTTATAATCAACAATGATTTTCACCTAATTTTGAAGGTGGGTAAAATGCTTTCAAAAGTTATTAAAAGAACAAAATGCAATATAGATGAATTTGCTTTATTTAAAGTGAATTATTAATTTTCGTGTAAATATTACTGATCCAATTAAGACACCATAGCCACCCGATTTGGAAAACAGCACAAATACTGAACGGCAAACTAGATCTCTTTCCGTCCGAATGCTCTTTCTTTTTATCTTTTGTGCCGATCTCACGAAATCTCAGGGGCCAAGGTACTTCTCTTGAGTTGTACCTAGTAATATTACACTATTTCTGTATAGAACAGTTTTGCCAGCTCTACGAAAGCGTTTTGTGGTTTCTCTGTGGTTTGAGGTTCAGTTTTTTTATGCATTAGTATACTTTGATTTTTGATGATATGGCCAGGACGATGCGACCTTGTTGTTGGGTGGACAGGCGTGATTATCGGATGTTCTAAAATTATCAATTTTCTCGTCTCTATACAGAATTTTGTCGTTAGTTCTCGGGGACAACGCCCAACTCTAATGTTAAATTTGGTTTTGAAAACCCTGTATTTGATTTGTTAAAGAACTTAGTATTTTATTTTATTGAGAGGACTGCCTGTTCTTATTTCGGTCAGGAGCCACCTCTGCGATCACAAGGTGTTTCAGTTTCTGCTGTGTTGAAGAACTGTTTGGGAGAGACGCCGGTTTTGACATTAAAAATATTTTTTATTATACTCATATTTATTATGAGTTCAATTTTATTTTTATATAATTATTATAACATTTTGATGTCCGAAACTAAATGATTACAAAAGTTAGGAATCTTTTTCAAAGTGCGGCATTTACACTATTTGTTGTAAGAATATATATATATATCTATATGGAGGAAAAAATCGGACTTACATTGCACTTTGACTTGAGTGACGGCTTCAGCCAGACCAAGTGAGCTGTTCGCGATGCATGTGTAATTGGCAGATTCGTGAATATCTGTAAGGATCAGGGTGTTCAGTCCTATGGGCAGTACTTGATCGGAGCCTACTTCCTCCCCATTTGCTTTCCTCCATTTCACAAACGGCATCGGTGAACCAGCAGCTACACATGTTAAATTTAAGTGCGATCCTAATGCTACTTCGTTAATGGGTGGTGGTGGTCGGGTTATCTGAGGAGGAACTCTTCTCACTAAAACATATTACACAACATTAAAATAAAACAGACAATACAAATAGTTATTGATTATTTTCTCTCAAAATATGAAGCTATTTATACGTATTTTTATCTGTTTGACGTTGTGTTACTTGTTGTCCTCGGTACACCAATTTCGATAGCATGACTGAATATGCCATGATTTAGTTTTTACACTTTAAATGAATCACCTACATATTTCTTCAACTATACTCATGAACTCATGTAAATGATATCAGCTGAATGATTTTCTTAAAATTCTAGAATATACTGTAATGTTCGTGGGTTTACAAAATTAACTTCTAAGACGAAAACTATTTATTCACACTAATTATTATTGAACTTAAAAACACTATTATATTATTACTAACTTAGGTGATGAATTACTCTATTTACAGTACTGTTGATATATCACTTATTCACTGCGCTGTCAATTTATTTCTAGATTCACTTCTGCAACGGTCAATTTATTTCTACCACTTTCGGCGATCGTCTCTTCCTTTAAATACTCTATTGCTTCCTTTCGGGAACCTTCTCGAGCCGTCCGGAAAAGTTTCTTTTTCTTTGAACTATTTAATTGCTTTCCCAGAACGCAGGTACGACACATACATTTACAAATACGGCGCACATGAAGAAAGGCGCCCGCGGCTAGTCGCCGAATCGATAAGCCGCTCACACACACGTATGCCAGATCGCACACAAACACGCTCGTGCTCGCTTCAATACTTAGAATAAAGTAATAAATGAACCTTTGTTTAATGATAATAATGTTTTCTAAAAATGCATTTGTAAAGTGAAGTTATCGTTAAGATTTATAGAATAAATAGAAGTTGAGTTTTATTAGTTATTCTTCCATATATAGTAAAGACAGAAAAAGTTCGTGCTGATTGATAGATTTATTGAAACCACTTATGGAGTACTGAACTGATAAGATAGAAATCGCGATCTACGCAAAAATACTGGTATGCAAGGGAAGAAAAAGTACGGAAAGAGCTAATATAAAGATAGGAGACGAAAAATTAGACGAAGGGGCTGATTTTAGGTATCTAGGAAGTAGTAGTGATATAAAGCAGAGTATAGCGCTGGGTCGTGTCGCCTTCAATAAAAATAAGCCACTTCTATGCTCGCGATCGGTAGGACACCTTCTCAGACATGAAGGTCTAGTCAGAGACATATCTAGACAGAGCAGAACGGTAGAGGTAGACCTGGATTAGATAACTGTTCGCAAATAGTGAAGGATATGAGTTGTTCTAGTTTTAGGGAAATGCGAAGATTAGCTCAGGAAAGAATGGAGGTACGTGTCCAACCAGTCTTACGACTGACGACCTTATTATGATGAAATAACTAATTAATTTTAATGAGGTGCTACAATATGAATTCCAGAGAATCGCCACAAATTCCAACATGCCGACTCATTAAGCCACTAAAACAGTCCAAAGAATAAGATGAAAACCTAGAAAACCTCCCAATGGAGCTACTACCAGTATTAAGAAGTGATGAATTCAATATTAATATGAAAATTCATTTAATTTTTAACCACTACAAATTACCTCCAAATTGAGCAAAAAATTTTGCTGCTGTCCCACCCTTTATTTGACTGATTATAATGAGTATATGACTCAGGGCTCTTATAGTATACATCATCATCATAAGGTCGTCAATCCTAAGACTGGTTGGTCACGTACCTCCACTATTCCCTAACCTGAACTAATCTTCGCATTTCCGTCAAAGTAGAATAACCCACATCCGTAACAATTTGCGAACAGTAAACTAATCTAGGTCTGCCTCTAACCCCCTAATTCCCGTTTCGGCCTCTAATATGTCTCTGACTAAACTTTCATGCCTGAGATGGTGTCCTACTAACCAATCTCGCCTATTTTTTATTGACTTCCATAGAGTGTTATGTTCTCCAATTCTTTCTAATATCTTTTCATTTCTAATCTTCTCTATCCACGGTATCCCCATCATTCGACTGTAACACCATATTTCAAATATTTCTAACCTTTTCTTTTCCGCTAAGCCCACTGTCCGTGTTTCGCACCAGCGCTGCTCTCCAAACATACACCTTTAACAACCTTTTTCGAATTTCTAAATTAACCTTTCACGAGCATAGAAGTGACTTCCTTTTTTTGAAGACGACTCGACCCTGCCCTATCCTCTGTTTTATATCACTACTACTCCTTCCGCCCTGACTTATCTGACTTCCTACATACCTAAAATTAGGCACTTCTTCTAATTATTCATCTCCTATCATTATATTCGCCCTTCTTGTACTTATTCTTACATTGCGTGCCAGTATTTTTGTTTACTGTTATTTATTTTCATACAGTACTGTTTTGTCAATACCGTTTCCATTTTATTTAAAGCTATCTCTAACTCCTACTTGCTAGATGCCAACACTGCTACATGATCTGCAAATCTAAGCGTACTAATATTTTGCCCCTGTATATCTATCCCTACAGTTGTACTTTTTAATGGAAGATTTTATTAAACTCGGATGGAAGTCTATTAACAATAGATTCAAAAAATAAATCAGATTACACCACTTTTATTGTCATTGCGTAGATTTCTAGGAACATTGAATTCGTTTACTAAAGATACACAGTCAATGGACTTAGTAATTCATATAGAAAAAGAAGGTCTTGGTACACTCTGCATGATTTAAGGGAAGGTAGTTTCAATAACTGTAAATGAGGAGTGTATTATAATTATGGTCGGTGAAAGCCATTGGTCTGCCACGTTTTTTGGATATGCATCTAACAAAGATCGAGTGTATATGATAAGTTTTCTGTCGATGGAGACCATATTATGGAAGCATACATTAATTTTGACTTTACATATACGTTGTACAAAGTTAAAAGTGATTAAATTTAAGCTTACTATTAAACAGAACAGCAAGATCTCTTACATTGGAACTTTTTTAAAAAAATATTTATAATCATCTAATTAAAATGCATTGCAGATTTATTACTTGTAAAAGAAACTGATGAACATTTTTGTACGTTAACCTGTAAGCCATTAGAAGCGAGCCAGTCAGTTACTCTAACAATGTCAGACTGAAGCATGTGACAGTTACCGGTGCTCTCAACAAACTTGAATAATTTAATATCATCAGCATACACGTTTATATCAAAATGTAAAATTGCATGAAAAATGAACAACAATGTGATCCTTGGGAGACTCCAGAGAGCATGAAGTATCCATCAAGATGTATAACCATTTAATGTGACACGACATGTTCTATTAGATATAAATGAGTATATCCACTTCAATAAAGTATCACTATGCACTTTCAAAAGAGGATCATGCAGCGACGAACACTAAAAGTGCGGTATATGAGTGAACACAAGATCTAACATATTAAAATACCTAACACCATCCGGAGGAGGGAGAACTTGGAGCACCCTTTGCAAGCGGAAAAGCTGGTGGAATGATTTGACTAAGTTTCTCACTCGGACGTTATCGTTGAATCCATGAAACAAGATGTCCTTATCCTTATTTATCCAGATTTAACTAGGCAGGTTGAAATCACCAAGTATCATAAATTGTTTACCTTGGTTAGATTCAAGGACTTCTTGAAGATCTTGCAGGAATTTTTCAGATTCAGATATGTAGGAATTACAGTCGAAAGAGGATAGTGGTGGTATATAAACCAACACAATAATAACCTGTACAACTAGACTAGCAGTTTAATTTTCTTGCCTGGCATAATCAGATAATAGACAATATTTGCAATAAAGTTTTGCCTTCTCTAATAGTATTGTAGCCAGTAAACATAGATTCATAATTTTGAACATATTCATCAAGCCATGTTTCAATCAATCGAATGATGCAGTAAGATACATTTGATGAAGATAAGGAGTTAGAAATAGGTATTTAAACTTGATTCCAGACTGTTGACATTTTGTTAATATACATGGGTAGGCGCAAAGATACCAAGAGGGTAACTCTGATCATAAGTTTTATTTCTTTAATACTTTTGTTATTATTTCTTTAATACTTTTGGTATTCCTCTGTTTGAAAGTTGAGTCATTCTTTATAAATATGTCCTCCTATTCAAAGATCTTTTTTTAATTTCTTATTAACCACAAAGCATCAGCTTCATTTTTAAAAACAATCTTCAAAGGTCTTGCAACATTAGGTATCCTTCTACCTATTCTAAAACCACTGAGAAGGTTAAGAAGCACTGGTGTATTATTGAGCATATTCTCACATATAAAAATAAAATCATGAGCAGGTGTATCTTCAGGATCATTAAAAATTATTACATTCTATGCTAAAATGGTTAAAATATATACAGTATTTATCTTTGTCGAGTTATTTAACTAAACAGGTTTAGTTCACTTCAGTCCCTGAAGAACCGAAAAGTGCATTGGACAACTACAGTGTCGTGTTTTGGCATTGGGGTTTTGAGCTATTTTGTTTGTTCTACTGGTAGCTTGTTTCGGCGCTTCAAACTCCAGGACGAGTGACGGTGTTTCACTTGGAGTCTTGTAGCGTGCTACTCTAAGTACTTGCTATAGTTCACCGTCTCTGACTCCATCGATGAATGTTTGCATAGCTAGTTAGTCTATGAGGTCCGTAGGGACGATGGATATGCTAATCTTATAAGGTGCTCCATCGAAAGTTGGTGGTGTAACCTTTGAAGTTCTTGCACCGGATTCGTTAGGCCTCGCAGTGGTGTTCATTGTTTTTTGTTTCTTCTTGCTCCTCTTTCATTTTCTGTTTCACTTCTTCTTATATTCTTTCTTGGGCTGTTTTCATTTCTTCTTGAGCAGCTTTCATCTCTTTTTGACCTTTTTCCATTTTTTGTGTCATTCATCATTGCCTCCATTTTAGCTTAGGTACCGCTAGTCGTAATTGACATGAAATCTCTCTATATCTTCTAGAAGATTCTATGAATTTCTTCGATATCGGCAAAATCGTTCTTTATTTTTCGCGAGCTTGTTCTGGTTATCTACCAACCGTTCAAACTTACAGACAAGTACGTTGAAATTTGTCGATGATGTCTAATTCGTTCTTCTCTCTTCGGAAGCTTTTCAATGATGTAAGGTTTGTTGGAATATGTCACGATCAGTTGATACTTCTAAAAACTTCTATAGAAGTCTTCCTTAACGTTGGATTCGTTCTTTTTTCTTTAAGAGTTTTTCAATTATATATGACTTGTTAGTGTTTCTTACAGGTGAAGGAACCTTCTAGAAAATTGGCCAATCGAACACTGGAAAATTCGACGAAATTCGTGAAAATCCTCCTCCTTCTTATCCAATCCTCTTCAGCCTTCTTCTATCCCACCCCTGACACCAAATATCACGTAATCAAAATTTTTTTGACTATTCACTAATTTATTTGACTATTTACTCTCTAATTACCACCACTATTATTATTACACCACTAAACGCGCACACTACCGCTTCTTCGCTCTTTCTAGATCGCTTCGTATCGACTCGTAACTGAAACTCATGCTAATACGTAAACTGTTCCGACCTCGCGGCAACTATTTAATACATATTCTAATGATGGTTTTGTTTCTATTACTGAGTGGGTAATTTTAATGGTGAAGATAGAGGGAAGAAGGGGTCCAAGGAGGAAACAGGTGGATTGAAAAACCCGTCTGCTCTGTTAGCGTAAGGCAATTTTCCCTTGTGTCTTTTAATTCTTTGTTTGAGAAAGTGGCACTCGAATTAAAATTAAGGAAATCGATTTCCCAGTTTGAAAGGAAATTCAGTTTTCTTGCTGTATACGAATAAATAAGAATTTATTACCTTCCGTTAAACATTTTCGCTGTTACATATGCTAGAAGCTGTTGTCAAACCATTAAACTTTGGATTGGGAAAACTAAATATGACCAGTATCTGCATATATGAAGTGTGACAACACATTGCTATTAGATTAGATTCTCCCCTCCTGTTTAGATATCTGTGCAAATAGTATAGAGGACGTTATCAAACATTACGAAATACGAGTGATAGGATTCTAGCTTCCTTGAATCGTCTACACAAATACTGGGACAGCAACAACATTCCACAGCTAAATCCTTTACTTCCTTTCAGTCTTCATTTCGTCCTGTTCGTCTCAGGTTAATTCCTAATCTGACAAACGAATTGCAGAAGAGCTTTATCAAGCTGAACGCGCACGAAGACAAGTTTAATCAACTTAATCCATAATATATAGGTAAATTGTTACCATTAATTAATCAATTATGTTAGGTTTTTGGATCACTACATTTAGATTAGCTTTTCTTTTAAAATTAATTTCAAACTATTTCAGTAATTAATGCCCGGTTATCGTGTAAATTATTCATTTATTATTAGTCTGTAGGAATTTTCGGGGTTACATTCGAGAATACGATAACGATATGTTTCTTGCTGCTTAGGCAAATGGATAGAAATATAACTTCGCATTCATTGGGTTGTATTCCATCTACCCTAGTAAAGAAGAGAAACATTGGCTTGAATGCTTGTTTGCCAAATCCGGTTAAAAACTGGCCTACCTCTATCCTCCATTCGTGATAGCTCCAATGTTGCTTAAAACGTCTGCAAGATCCAGTCAAACACTGGCCAAACTCTTTTCTACAGATTGTAAATAGCTTTTTTCTTGGCTTGAAATGTCTGTTTATGAGAATAATCAAATTTCTGCTTGGCTCTGTCCTAAATTTGTGCCTTTTTGATCTTGCACTTGATTCGACTATCGGCTAGATCCGGTCAAGTATGACATTTAGTCTATGATAAATCAAATAAACTAAATAAACTTCAGCTCGTTTGACAAGTCATTAGGCGGTTGAAAAACGCAGCAGTCCACCGTTAGTTGGTTTGGTCTGGTCCTTTTTTTGTGAGGCTGCCATCCCCTAGCCGCTTCCATAGAGTATCAAGCTACACTGAGCTTGCATTGCCCCTGGATTCCAAATTTGTGGCGACGTTTTGTTTTTTTACATTTTTCAGATTAGTTTTATAGTATGTTGCCACTAGCTTTAGGTTTCTCAGATGTTACTAATTTAGTCCATTTTTGGATTTTTATTCATGCGATGATCTTGGAATAAGGTAGATGAACGACAAGCGCACATGGTTTCATTGAGTTTTATAACTTGAGGAGCTTTAACAGTTGTTTAGGACAAGCCATTATAAATAAGGTAGATTTACCACAAAATTTTAAACGTATTAGATGCGATTAAATTGGCTTGAAGCTATACCTAAAGCTCCGTTATATTATAACTAATTCAAGTGAACGTGTAACCACCGCATAAGCACGACGGTATCAATTGTTTCAGTTGAGTCTGCATAGCCTTCATATAATTACAAGAAAGTATGACTTTCAATTACTACGAGTTGAAAGTAGAAATAGTAAAAGTAAAAAATCGTACCTTTGACATAAAGAAGAGCCGGTTTGGAAAATTCTGTGCCAACTGAATTTTCTGCAGAACATTCGTACCTTCCTTGATCCTTTTCTTCACTGTTCTTAATTTTAAGGATTCCTGAAAAAAAAAATGAACGTTGTTATTTACGAAGTAATTGACACTTATAGAATAGATGAATCAAATTTGAGGCATATTTTTAAATACATATAGGCACATAGCTGCAAATATCATCAATTCAGACAAACTTCAACTTTTTCTTATATTTCTTGATTTGCTGTTATTAATTTTTTGTAGCGGGTTCTTCGTAGTATTTTACCATTTATACCTCAAGAACTATTATTATGATGAAAGAATGGAGAACATATTATCACTGTATTATGTTTCTCCCGATCCAGTACAGGCGGTATTTGTTTTTAGTTGGGTAAGTTGGATCGGAGGCTAAATTTCCTTTGGAATCACTGCAAAAATTCTTCAGTAATGATAATTTCACTATCAAAACCATTGTAGGTAGGTTTTATGCTTTGGAATGTATTTGTAATTGTAATTGGTATCGGGTTGCGCTGCGAACTAACATGGGAAAGTCCAATCATTCACTTATTTAGGAATCGGTCTGAAAACGTGTACAGGTCCACTACCCTGGAAAGTACACGTAGTCATATTCTTAGAATAGGTGGGTTGTTCCTCTCCACGTTACATTCCAAAATTATTGAACCTTAACTTTTTGAACACGCCCATCAAGCATCAGTATTCTCTGTTACAATAAATTTAGACAGAACTTATCAGTAACTTGAACAATACAGAACCTTTCAGTAACTTAACCAAATCAGAACAATATTTTATTCATATTCAGTAGTTCAATTTAGTATAATTTGTTTGTTATTTGTTTTCGAATTAGTTTTTAAATAAACTAAGATCAAGTGTTGGTAAAGAAGTATTTTTTCTAAACCCCAGCATGATCATTTTTCCGGATCCGCGAATCCGACACTACCCAGTCGTACGGACGGCTGGGTGTCTTCTGAAGATTTCCCCTCTTCCACGAAAACAAAAAAAAAATCCATTGTCACGCAAAGGCATCCCGATTATAAGACACCATGGTAATGTTTACAAGAGTTTTGTCTCTGTTAATGTATAGAAGTGTTCGTACAATGATCTCCATATTGATTCATTGCATCACAGTTTAACATTTGGATTTGCAGAGTCCACATGCATTGATCTAAATTTATCTGTGATTTATAGGGTCAATTGAAAAGTCCCCGGCCTGACACATAGACAGCGGCACCAGAACTAAATCCATATGATTTTCAGTTAGTCCTAACCTTCAAAAGACGCGTCTATAAATTTGACGGCTGTCGGATCATTAGTTTGTGAATTATAGCATTTTTAGTGAAGCAACTTTTGTTATTGTGAAAAAAATGGATAAAAAGGAATTTCGCGT